GTCATATAACTGGAAAGCTAAATTACTGGAATGGAAAGGATGCACTTAAGGAAAAGAAATATCTGGATGATGATGTTAAGCAGAAGCCAGGCCCTCAAAGGAAAATGAGACTTGTGGATGAGTTTTTGATGGTCTTCATGCGGCTAAGGCTTGGACTACTGGAACAGGACTTGGCACAGAGGTTTTGTGTTTCAGTTAGTACAGTTTCAAGGACTCTAATCACTTGGTACAATGTGCTTGCTATGCATCTAAACCATTTAATTCTGTGGCCAAGCAAAGACATCATTGCAGCCAATATGCCAGAATGTTTCAAGAAATTTCCCGATACACGTGTAATAATAGACTGTACTGAATTTTTCATAGAGATTCCTTCATCTTTAGTTAATCAAGCGATAACATACTCGAGTTACAAGTCCCATAATACATTCAAGCTGCTAGTGGGTATCAGCCCTACAGGAGTAGTCACATTCTTGTCAAAGTTATGGGGAGGTAATGCATCTGACAAGCAAATTGTTAAGGAAAGTGGTTTTCTGAATCTCCTTGAAAAAGGTGACAGTGTGATGGCAGATAAGGGCTTTACAATTAAAGATTTACTGGATCCACTAGGTGTTACCCTAAATATGCCCCCAAGGCGTGACTCAAATAGGCAACTGCCAAGGTGTGAGGTTGAGCAAACAAGGAGAATTGCTGCAGTGCGAATTCACGTTGAAACTAAAATGGAACAGATAAAGAATTTTAGGATTTTGCAAGGTGTCATCCCTGCTACAGAATGGCATAATGCGAACAATATTGTGCTAATTTGTGCAGCTCTTTCAAATCTTGAACCTCCCCTTGTAACTCAGTAGTAATTGTCATCATACTGAAGATGAAATTCCCAGGGCTATGGGTTTCTCAAAACACAAAGTCCCCAGTGTTTTGAGATACATTTTTATTCCCCTAGTCTTTGTTCCATGTGGTATTATCTAAACCTGGGCTGAAAAAATTGTTGCAATTCCCCTTAGTTCCCAACATACATGTATCTCTGCTGTGAGCCTGAGGTCAACACCAGAGGGAATCTGGTATTTGCCTTTAATGATATACCTTTGGTTTAGTTACCAAGTACTATTTTTCAAGGTCTTGTTACCTATTAATTATTTTCTTCTGTTGTTCCAAGGCAGTGTTTTTAAGTTCATGTTCTCGCAGAATGTTTTTTTGTAACAAGTTTTGAAAATTAATGTCTAGGCTTACAACATGTAGTAGAAACTATTCAGGTACTGTAGCAAGGTAGAGTAATTTATGAAGCACTGTCAGTTTTGTCTTTTGCAATATAGTCAATTTGTTGCCAACTTTTTGATTGGTAGCACCTGACACCTATCATTGTTTAATTTAATATCTATTTTCTCACAAATGTTCCTAAAATAAGCATGGCATACACAATACGTTTTAGTAGCCCAGAATTTCAATATCTTATTCGATCAAGCCCAAGTTGAACTCTTGGGTATGCAAGTTCTTGCATGAGAAATGAATCAAAAAACTTTTCTAGTTTCTCCAATATAGGCAACCAGAAGTTTGCATTAAACCTAACTTTTTCATGAAATATGCAGCCATTAGTTCCCTTAGCTATAAACATTCCCCAATAAAATTCTGTTACAAACATTTGCTGGTACAGCTGATAGAAGTACTTATGCATCCTATTGAGCTGCAGATGGGTAGAGTTGCCCTCTTGTGTTTTTGTACAGATGTGCTGTTTAAGCAGGAGTCCTGATAGGGTCTCTCCATCTTTTACTTGGATGAATTTGAACTCTGCTACACCAGGGGTTTCTTCTGTTGGATCATGCACAATACGATCAGGACTTGCCCCCAGAAAGCCATTTGTCTTACTAATAAAAAAAACCACAGTTTGTAAAAGAAAAACCACACTTTCCCTCAGCCTCCATTTTATCAATAAAGGAATCTGCAATTGCATCCTCCTTTTGCAAACCCTGGAGCATTGCATGAGTCTGGGGCACCTTAATAACCATTAACAACTCCTTGAGAGTCTTTGAAGGGGAAGTGGTTGGTTTGAGGGAGGCCACGCGCTTGCATTTTGAAGCAGTTATTCTTCCTTTTCTGTACAAAAACCA